CCCTTTAACCTCACCTACGGCACCGAAGCAGTCATTCCAGTCTAGATCGAAGTCCCCTCGCTGAGATTAGAAGAGTATGATGATAGGGCAAATGAAGATGAGCTACGTACCAACCTCAACTTGCTTGACGAGGTGCGGGACCTCGCATACATCAGGACCGCGGCCTACCAGCAAAGGGTAGCTCGGTACTATAACGCCAGGGTCAAAAAGCAAACTCTCCGCGTTGGCAACCTGGTTCTCCGTAAGGTTATGGTGCCTGAGCTCAGTGTTGGCAAGATCAGTCCGAACTGGGAAGGACTCAACCGTGTAAAGCGACTGCTCGGGGAAGGAACGTACGAGCTCGAAACCCTGGAAAGGAAACAAGTACCTCGGGCATGGAATATTGTCAACCTAAGGCAGTATTACCTATAAATAGCTGAGTAGACTACGAGTCACTCTCAGGGCTTAAGGGCCAAAATGCCGAGTTAACAAAGACCTCGGCACAATAAAACCCAGTCGCTTCTATGCCATGGGCGAACTCCAAGAGCAGACCGCGTCTCTCAGGGCCAAAATGCCAAGCTAACAGACTCCGGCATAGTAACCTAGCCACCTCTATGACGCGAATGAACCCTAAGGGGCTAGAACACCGAGCTGACCAAAGAGCTCGGTACCACAATACACAATGTGTTGAGGGTACAAGCAGACCTGTAGATTTCACGACGCTTAACTCGCCTCAGTGCATGCCAGAAGACAGTTCGGGCACATGCCTTACTATGCCTTACTGTCAATCACCTCGGTGCACGCCACAAGACAGTTCAGGCATGTGCCTTACCATGCCCTACTATGTCAATCACTTCGCACACTCAACCATGATAGCTCGGATAAAACAACACTTGGAAAAGAAAGACCAATTTCATTAACAAGTAAGTTTTGTACAATGAGCTTGATAAAAAAACAAACAAAAACAAAACAACAAAAACTGAGCTCGTAGGCTCGGAATACAAAGGCAATCACTTCGGGGACTCTTCATCTCTGCGCGAGACCTCCTCGGGAGCTTCAGGATGGTCAGGGGCGTCCGCTTCTTCGTCATCGTCCTCCTCCTCTAAATCTGGATCCTCTGTGGCTTGACGAGCTATCTCGTCCGTGATTCGCGAGGTGGTGATGGCGCTTGTGTCAAGATCGAGGTACGTATGCCTTATCAGCCACCGGCTGAGCTTGAACCCCTTGTGGTAGGCCTCCCCCAGAACGGCATCAAATTTGTCAGATTGGATGTACACCGCGACAGCCTTGATCTTCGTCTCCTCTATCGCTTGAGTAAAGATCTCGGTCTTCTCTTCGATGTCCACCTTGAGGAACTCCACCTCGTGCAGGAGGGCCCTCTTATTCTCCATAAGGCCTTCCGCCTCTGCCCTGAGGGCGTCCAGCTCGCCCCTCAACAAACTCTTCTCGTGTGCCAACTCCTCTTTGAGGGCCTCTGCTTCGCCCCTCAGCACGTCATTCTCGTGTGCTAGCTCGTCCTTCTCCGCCGTCAGCGTCGTAATTACGCCCCTCTGGGCCATGGCGCCACTCTCCAAATGGTGGATCTGCTCGCGAGCTGCCCTCATATCAGTATGGGCAGCGCGGGACGACTCCTCGGCGGTCAGAGCCTGCTTCAGGTTCCTTTCGGACTGAAGAGTAAGGGCGTGCACGGCGGAGTTTGCCTGACAAAGAAAGTTGGTTAGTACCGAAGAAACATACGTATAAAAGAAAGAAGAAAGAGGAGAACTTACCACCATAGTGTGGGTAGTAGCCCGGGCTCCGAGCTGAGTCGGTTTGAGCATATCGGCCCAGACCGAGATTTCCTCAGAGTAAACGGCCCCATGCTTTTCCGAAGGCCACATTGGGGGACCAAGATACTTCGACCCCCATCTGGGCTCCCCGAGCTGGAGACCGTCGTCTCGACTATACGGATGGGCTTGGCAGAGACCTCAACTGCTACGTCAGCAGCCCCGGTGGCAACCTCGGGCTCAGTTGTTGCCCTCGTAGCGGGCTCGGCCGAGTTCTCGAGCTCCCTAGGTGGTATGGACTCCTCCAAGTCAATGATCGGAGGAGCCCCAGGGAGCTCGGGCTCGGAAGTTGGAGCCAGTGGAAACTTGGGCTCGGGAGTGGGGGCTGGTGGTGACTCGATACGAGCTCTCTTAGCAGCCCGCTTCTTCCTCCCCTTCATGTGCTTGAAGAGCCAATCTCCCTTGAGCTTATCTGCCTCCATGAGACTTGCAACAGAGCTCGGCATTAGTACTCGAGTGAAAGAAAGGAGCAAGCATGACAACTAAGGTACCAACTACCTACCCGGGCTCAAGCCGGCCTAGATGAGCATACTCTCGGTGATGTAATCCTTGTAACTACAACCAACCTCAGCCCACGGCTGGAATGTCTCCCTGGTCTTCTTGTCGAGGATGATGTCGGGGTCTTGGATAGCCGCCCTCCAGTGAGTAGGGAAGGGCCACCCCGTAGGGTTCCGGACTACGAAGTAGTCCTGCTTCCAGGCCGGGATCTTGCTAGGAAGCTTATGCATCAACTTGAACCCCGGGCGAGGGGACAAGTAGTACGCCCTCCTGTGCTCGGGGAGAACGCATGAAGCGCTCTTCTTGATGGTGAGGATAGAACAAAATATGTCCAAGTTAAGGGGAAGGACACACTCGTAGCAGAGGGAGATGGTCCCGACCACGTTACGGACCGAGTTTGGGTGAAGCTGGTCTATCGTAACATTGAAGTGGTTCAAGACCTCCACTATGAGTGGATGGAATGGAAGGTGCAGCCCGGCTATGAGCTGCTCCTGGAAGATTACGACCTCATCAGGGTCATGCTCCCATGGGAAGTTACCCGCAGGTATACTGTAAGTGTACTCCCTGGGCAGGTTGTACTGTTGAATAAGGTGGGGGAGCCTCTCCAGGGCCATGGTGGAGGGTCTGAACCTGTCCGGCATCCAACCTCGGTGAGAGGTGGACGCCAAGTTACTCGAGGCCTCCCGCGCCTCGGGGGACTGGACTCTGGTAGGGTTACCTTGAGCCGAGGTACCCACCTCGGGCTCATCTAATTGGCTATCAAAGGAAGACATAGCAACGAAACCAAAGAAGAGCCAGGGTGACTCACCGAAAGGAGATGGACCGGACTGGGAAGAACTAACCCGACTGGAGGCTTTAGACGCGAGCTCAAAACTACAACTAAGGATTTGTGGTGAAGGAAAATGGCCAGGATCCCCACTATTTATAGCCACCATACGCGGGCGTCAACAGTTGAGATCGAAACGATCTGACGGTCCTCATGAAAATCGGTTGCACGACCTTCGAGGCAAAATCAGTTTAGCACGTTTTTTGACGTTCGCGGAGTCCATAAGTCGCGTGACGTCCATGCGTAGACCGTACGCGACCCGAGCTGCACCTGATAAAATCAAGCAGAGAACCGGTCCAACCGATGAGCTGATAGATACGAAAGCTCAGGACTCGAGCCAAATCCACCCGGCATACCGCGGACTCCCCGCGTTGGGTCAGAACCCCTAGCACGGGGAGTGGGGGGCAATTGATGTTGGGTGATTTGGCCCGACCTCGTAGCACGGGGACACGTGTATATGACCTGGCATAAGCGACAACTCAGCACGACAGCCTGGCCACAACTCGGCGTAACAAGCTCGTCGAGTCCCGACCAAATGACTCAGCGGATGTAACAACCCGCCGAGAAGCAAGGCCCAGTTCGCCCCAAGCCTGAAGGTGGAGCTCCCCGAGCTCCCCTTGAGACCCGAGCTCTCCCTTCCTAAGAAGGGATCACCCCAGCTTTTGGCTAAGTGTCCCGAGGGAGAAACACCTCGGGGCAGCACCGTCAAAACTCCTGTTCGTACTCGCTTAAGGCTCGCCTCCAGTACAAGCACCTCGGCACCTGGTGCAGGGCTAACCTGCTGCAGGTGGTTCGATGTACAACAACTCGGTAAATTGCAGGGGAGATCCACCTGACAACCATACCTACCTGACATTCGTACCTGCCGGATCCGGTGGCAGTGCCCGCATCCCTTGCCAGGCGGCGTTCTGCCTGTCGTCTCTGAAAAGCATGGCACGCCTGACAAGTCCATACCCTGCAGTAGCTGCCTGCAGCAGCAGCCTGCACCTGCCACCCCAGCCCTGGCAGTAACGGCTAGGGCAGTGGCGGTTGCACCTGATGTGACCGAGCTCCGGTATAAGAAGATCCCAACCCTCGCGAAACAAAGGTATTGAAGTTAGCACTTTCAGCACTCTAACTCTCTATGTCTTCTTTGAGTTTCCTCAGAGTTCTAACTTAGCCATCGGAGTGTTCCTGCCGGGAGAGCTCCTCGGGAACCCTTTACCTTCCTCTTCCTCTCAGGTGTCGTCCGTCACAGCTAGAAACCAAGTCTCAGCCACATAGGAGTGCCCAAATTGTGAAGAAAGGAGGAATGCTTCACTTCTGAAAGTAGAAATGGAGGATCATGTCATCTACGCTGATCTCAACCACAAAACTAGAATTGGAGTGAGCGTGAAGCAAGAAAAAGTGTTGAACTCCATTCAATCCGAATGAACACATTTCTCTTGTAGTGGAGACTGGGGATCTATTCAAGGCTTCATTCAGTTTGGGGTTTGGGGATTATTGACTGAAAAACAACGAAGCATTTGTCCAGATGCGGGTAATGAGTAGCAAAAACCAAAGTGATGCCACCCAGGCTCGAACTGGGGACCTTCAGTGTGTAAGACTGACGTGATAACCACTACACCACAGCACCAACGCACAAGAGGGTGAAAATGTGAATATCATATACAAATGAATAAAAGTCAGGAAAAGACTCATCACGAAAATAGCACAATATAAATTTGATGCTGCCCAGGCTCGAACTGGGGACCTTCAGTGTGTAAGACTGACGTGATAACCACTACACCACAGCACCGACACACATGAGGATGGAAATGTCAATTTCATATACGAATGAAAAAAAGTCAGAAAAAAGACTCATCGTGAAAATAGCATAATATTTATTAATTTGATGCTGCCCAGGAACGAACTGGGAACCTTCACTGTGTTAGACTGACGTGATAACCACTACACCACAGCATCAACTACATTTTGATTTGTTTAATAATATTTAAAAATGAAAATAATCAGAAAAGAAGATACAAACAATGAAATATGATGTTAAACTGATACTGCCCAAGATCGAACTGGCCTTCAATGTGTAAGACTGACGTGATAGCCACTACACCATAGCACCAATTACATTGTAAGTTAAAACATAGGGTAATAGTATACAAGGTTAACTTTTGGGGTTTAATATCAATAAAAGTAATATATTTAAAAAAATTTCAAAAATGGTTTCTCTGTCCAATGCCGCCACCTCCGCCCATCTCCACCTCCAGCAACATTGCTGGAGATGGGTGGAGACAGAGGTGGCAGTGGCGGCGAGCAGAGGAATGACCACCATCGCCGTCGTCACCACCTCCGGTAAGAGGTGGGCGGTGGCGAGCAGCGACGAACAGTGGTTCTGATGAAAAAATGGCAAGAAGATGATGAATAGTGTTTTTGCCCTTTATTGATATTATTTTTAAAAAGTTAACCCATTTTTGAAATTTTTTTAAATATATTACTTTTATTGATATTAAACCCCAAAAGTTACCCTTATATGCTATTACAAGATATTCGAATTTGGAAAGAATATCCTTTAACATTTCTTGTAAATACTAAAACCTCCCCTCCTTTTTTTAATTTAACTAAAACCTCCCCTATTAAAGTCTAACGGAGTCATTAAAAAAGTCTCATTACTCTTATTAATTCTTCAAATTTTCAAAATATGAGATTCAATGGAAATTTGCACGATATGAGAAGGGTCACAATTGTAACCATGGTTTTTGAACCGTTGTTGACTTGGACAATTGGACCATTAGGCCCAGAAATTATCTAAGCAACCGGTTTCGTTTCGCCCCTAACCCCATTTTTTACCAAAAACTATTGACTTGGTCAATGCCCCATTAGCCTGGGAAGTTAGGAATGGCAATTTTCCCCATTTCGCCGATCCTAATGGGGACATGCCCCATTAGGGATGATTTTCCCCCATACGGTGGGGATGGGGAGAACCCCTCGCCCCATGGGGCCTCAAAACTGTACCTAGTGGAGATCCCCTTGTATGTATGTATGTATGTATGTATGTATGTATGTTAATATTATTTTTAAAATATAATTGAATGAAATAAAAAATAGGATTATAAATTTTAACTATTTTATTTTTAATCTTCCGAATGAAATAAAAAACAAAAACTAAATTATTAACATCATAAAAAAATCACGGGGAGCGGGAATCCCCACAGGGATGGGGATAACCATGTCCTTGGTAGTAGGGATATTTTTCACTGGAAAGGGGATAGGGAGTGGCTCCTCATGTTTACCTCGCCCCGTTGTCATTCTTATGGGCAATTGAACCATCAATGCATTTGACCCAAACAATGAGTTTTTGGTCATTTTTGTTTTATTTTTTAAATTGCAACCAGTCATCCATTCGAACTAAGCAGTTGAACCACTGACCCACAAATCAGTGGTCAAAGCAGGTCCGAGAACATTGATTTGAAACCATATGCTGGTATTGGTGATAATCTTCATCTGTAGAGTAGAGGTGCTTTTAAATGTCATGTGATTTAAGCTGCATTCAAGGACTCAATCATCAGTCACTAGAAAGCTTAATAATTAATTAATGAAGATGATTGCATGGAGAATTGAAATTGGAATCAGTTTTGGGTTATTTCCCATTAAAAGATCTGCACCAACTGCATGGTTAGGAGTTGGGATGGATGAACACTATACATGCACATTACATTTGCTACCATCTAATGCACAACGTATCTGCACATACAACCACCCAAATATTAGGTTGAGAATGAAGCTTATTCTCTTTTCTAGATAGAGCACTGTGATTTCTAAACGTCTGTACCATTTTCTAAGAGCTACTTATTCTTGTGTAGTGAAGGAAATTTCATTAGGCACAAGGCCAGAAACCAAACAGCAGACAACAAGAAGCAATGCAAATACAACATAAAGCACAAAACCGAGAAAAGAAATATAAAACAAACCAAACTAAGGTGGCGTTCAGTAGCGCTGAATTGGAGGTCTTTCGGTTGCACCTCAGAATCGAGACAAAAGAGTCTTCCATAGATCAGCCAGCCTCTGAAGGAAAAGCTATGCATAGCTATGTTACAATCTCTAGGGATGAAAGCAAATCTGACAATAAGATTTTGTAATCAATATTGAGGCCCTGATCACTTTTCAGTAAGTTATTAATCGGGTAAATACAATTATCTGGGTAAGTTTTATGTGGAAACACTTACCCATGTAAGTGTATTTATCCATGCTCTTTTATTTCCCAAGTAAAAAAATGAAATGACCATTTTAGCCATATAAATCCATTATTAAAAGGGGCATTTTTGTCCTATTCAAGTGTTGGAAAATTTCCCCACAGGTGGAAAAGTTATTTACCCACTTACAAGATAGGGTAAGTGATACCTAAAAAAATAAATTTTTCCTAGTTCTCACATTAATCTGAAAAAAGAACGCCCTATCTTTCACCTGGAAGAGGATTTCGGAGTGAACTTCCTTCTTGGAATCAAGCAAGACCAACATAAGGTTCTTGCAGTGCTCCTCAAAAAGAATTTTTGGAATATTCAGTCTTTTAGCTAGTTTAACCCCTTTCAATTAGAGCAAAAGCAAGGCGATCCTGCGAAAGAAGATCCACAAGATACCTGCCCCTGAAGTCTCAACAATAACTCCAAAAGAGGCTTTATTATTGCCAAAAAAAGCCACCATTTGAATTAACTTTGATCCATCCAACGTCCGGAGGTCACCAAATAGTATTCAGTGAGACAACGAACTTACTCCTCTGTGTTGCTTACTGGGATGAATTGAGGCACTCCATTCTCTCCATAACTTTCCTATTTAAATAGTCAAATTGTTAATGAAGGATCAATATTAATGCTTTCAAAAAACAAATTTGTTTCTATCAATCCATATTAACCACTGGGAAACCCACTACTAAACACATAATTAATTGGAAATAGCTATCCAACCAAAGCATAGGAAAACGGCAGGTAACCAAAGCATAGGAAATTGATTCCTCCTTCTTTTGGCTTTGTTAGAACATTTCCACAGGAAATATTTGATTTTTTGATCCACATGAATAGACCAAATTGTGTGCTATAACTTTTTTTTGGACCTGGATGGAGATGGTAGCAGAGGAGTCTCCGTTGGTGATGATATAGTGGGTTGATTTAACAGACAAAAAACCTTTCGGGCCAGACAACCATCTCATAAAATCATTCCAAGGGAATTGGGAAAGTCTAATTTCATTTATTCTGCTAACTATTACAGCTGGAAAAGGGGAGTTCAACTGACCCAGGTTCCAGATTCTGTTAGAGAGATAGACCTAGGGACCCTGAACCTGGGTCCATAACCCTAAAACCTTCAACCCCCGTAATCCAGGGGTCAAACCAAATATCAACTTCATTTCCAGAGCTTATGGCCCACCAAGCTCTTTTTAAAAGAACTTTGCCTACAAGAACACTCTTCCAATCCCAGGAACCATTTTTCTTGACACCCCCATGGAGAATTTCATCAGTCTTGCCCACAAGCAATCTTCCTTAATGTAAATCCTCCAAGCTAATTTAGCTAAAAGGTCAAGATTGAATGACCTTAACCCTCCATTCCCTTTCTTTCTACAAATCCTCTTCCATCTCAACGGGGTTTTTTATTTTGTTTCATTTTTTGGTACTCCCCCACCAAAAATTCTTTAGGCTTTTGCCAAATCATCAGTGAGTTTCTTAGGTAGGAAGAAACAAGACATGGTATATCTTGAAATGTCTAAGACAACTGACTTTAAGGTTATGTTTGGTTTGAAAGAAAAAGAAGTAGAGAAAGAAAAGGAAACCTTTACAAACCTTATATGAACATTCTTACCTTTTCTTTCAAACCAAACATAGCCTAAAATAACCTCCTTACTTGTAGGTGAGAGAAGTTGTTTGTGCCAAGAAGTTTTATTCTGAACTCTCTATTTGAGACAGGAGATAGTCTCCTTTGATTTACCAATAAAAGTAGGAATGCTCCAATAGATAGATGGAGAGAACACTATTTTTAGATGTAGAACTTTAGCTATGATTTTCCTCAATGTAGGATGAACACATCTACTGAAAAAAAATCTCAAATTTTAAGAGGTTCACCTGCTGCCCAAAGACTCTAATACTCCTCAATTGTCTTCAATAGGTCCCACCCTTCATTGAAGCTTGCTTTTGTGAAAATATAATTGTCTTATTCAAAGAATAAATGAGTAATGTTGCGGCATAATATATTGAGCTCCAATTCCTAAAATTTAAAAGAATTTGAGAGGTCCTTAAGGAGAACACATAATAGAAACAAATAAGGTGAGAGAGGGTCCCATTGTCGAAACCCTCCTGAGGTTGCACTTGGAAACGATGCAAATTAGTGTGAATGCAAATATGTAGAGTGTAAAACGGTTCATATAAATTGTAAAATTGGGTTAGTTTTGCACTGACAAATTTACCTTCTTACCAAACAGACTTTTAGCTGTAATGGATGCAAATATGAATTCCAATAAAGTATATGCTTTTTTTTATCAAAAGCCCACTTGAATGCAAATTTATTTCTTTTTTATTGATGTACTTTTACATTTTATTATCAATGTAAATATGCATTGGTCTGTCATTTGTAAATGCATAAATATAGTGTTGCCAAACACAGGCAAACGTGAACCAGAGTGCAAATTTACCCTGAACCGGGATTAACACTCTATTTGCATCATTTTCAAACGCAGCCTCAAGGGAAAAATCTTCTAGATGAATCCCCCAGATAAAGCTAAATGTAAAAGCTTTCTAACATACCAACTACAAACTCGTTGTGCAACCCAAGCCCAAATTGGGAGTTGCTTTCTTAGTGAAGGCCAAAGCAAAGAACCATAAAAGGGGTAAAATTGGATTTAAAAAAATCAGCAAAATGTGATGTTACTTGCAAATGGATCTTAATGCTCAGTTTGGAAGCAATACAAATATAAATATGTAGAGCGCAAAACCTTATATTTTGTATGTACATATTTGCATTTATACTCCTTCCAAACTAAGCCTAAAGGATTGCCAATGGAGGGAGGTCCTTATTTGATGGCATCACCTAACAAGAAGGGTCTTTGTCCAATTTGAAAGGCAAGGGGAGGTTTAAGTCTTTTACCCTTCTAGGGATGCAAATAGATCAAATTGAATTGAATTCGGATTGGGATATATCTGAATTCGATCGATAATATACATGGTGTTTGGAAGCGTGGGCGCTTTTTGGGACCGATTTTCAAGAAAAAAACACTCCTTCTAAGACCCATTTTTCACAAAAAATGCTTATACCACGTAAGCAATGAGCAACACTATGCTATTTGGTAAGGTGATTTTCATCACCGTTTTTCATGTATGTTGACAGATAAGTACCACATAGGATACACATCAGTCAACCGTTGGGGGAAACGGGTCACCGATGCATGAAACGCCAACATCAATGGGGTCCCGATTTTCGAGGCATGACCGATTTTTTAATAATCGGCTGAACCAAACAATGAGATACATGGACATTTGTTGAAACGCCTATGTGGATCCGACGTGGCACCATTTTTTTGAAAAATGGCCACGGTTCCAAACATCCCCATAAATAATGGATCCGATATAGGGGTAATCCGAATTAGATCCGATTAAAAAATCCAACAAGAATATCCAAATATGATCGGATCCGATCCATTTACGCCCCTATTACCCTTTTATACTAAAAATGTTTTTTTCCCTTGCTGCTGCCCAGGCTCGAACTGGGACCTTTAGTGTGTAAAACAAACGTGATAACCGCTACACCACAACATTAGAATAACAAATAGTAATTTCTTAATCCTTTTATCTGAAGTGCCTTGAAGTGTAAATGCGAAAGAATTGCATGGATGGCGAAAATAGTTTCCGCAACGCGAATGACGTGAGCGACGTTGTCTTGGGGGGAAACCCTCCATGATTAATCGCTACTTCGCTACTCGTCAAAAAAATCCTTCCATCTCCTGTCGGATTGAAGCTTCCTTTGTGTTTGTTCCGTAGAAGCCTGCAACAAGAAAAAGATGAAAGCTGTTGTATGAATCCCTTTCGATGCTTAAATACCAAATACAAGAAATTCAAGTACTTCTAAGTCTTAACACTGTGGAAAAAAAATAACGTGAGTTCTTTTAATTTCTAAATCGACTGAAACCAATAGATGCTGTAGTTTCGATTGTAAGATACAGAGAGAAGTGATTCTGAAGTAGTAATTCTTCAGGTGTTGATTTGGTGGGTGGTTTGGTATCGATGGGGAGAGTCTTCAAGAGTTGCCTCCAGTGTCTCCTCAAAATCGTGAATTCGGTTATTGGGATTGTTGGAATAGCGATGATTCTCTACTCTTTCTGGATGCTTAGGATTTGGCAGAAACAAAGGGATGGGTTTGCTCTCTGGGACTTGAATTCTCCTCCATGGTAATTGACTTACTTTCCATGAAGCTCTCTTCTTTTCTTCCTTTCTCGTCATGGTTGTAATTCACCTTTTTAATTGGTTCATTGCTCAGTAGCTATCTTCTTCAGATTTTTAGCTCGTGAAAGATGTAAACTATTACAGTCGTATTTGTGAATTGAAAGGCAAATGGGTTTCACTGAAATGCAAATGCTGCATGTCACTGAAATTTTGATGGGAACAATGTTTTTATTTTTGCTCTTTTATTTCTCTATCATCTGGTATACTGGGTTTGAGCTTGATTAAGGGATATTGGATGTGTTAATTCTTTCCTGATTTTGGGAATTGATCAGTTTTAGATGCTTATATTCTTGATGAATGAATTTGTTTTTGATTAATCGAAAAGAGCTGTTTTAGCCAGATTTTGGGGAGTAGATGGTTATTCTTCTTTTGCTGGTTGACTAAAAGGAGAGTAGGTTATTCTAATTGTTGTTATGAAATAGAAGATTTTAAGATATTACATTTTGCAGCTTCTGCATGTTAACCTTAGCTGCAACCAGATGATAATTAATTTTATTTTGTTCTTTCGGTTGAAAAATAACTAGTTTTCTTCATTTTTATGCACTTAACTTTTTGTTTATATTTAAATCAGCTAAACCATTTTTCTCACAAAAAATGCAGGTTGACCTATGGGTTTTTTGGCATCGGAATCATATTGTGTGCGATTGCATGCACTGGTCATATCGCCGCAGACACCGGAAATGGCTACTGCCTTTCTTGTGTATCCTTTTCCCTTTTATTTTATTTTTTATTTATCTTATTTATTTTTTCATTAACTGCTTTTATGTATTTTATGATTGTTTGTTTGCTATATCAGTTTAATTGTTTTATAAGAATATTTTCATTCATGTTATTTCCTCCCAAGTTGCTGCCTCAGTGCATGCAACTGGGAGAGGAACTACATTGATTTAGTGAACTGGTAGATGTACTGTGAATTCTAGGTAGATGTTTCTTTTCGTATTAAGAGAATGTTAATTATTCTTGAGGCTTGTCCCAGTATTCATAGGATCCAGACTGGTGCATTTTTTCCTGTCACAGACTGAATGGAAGTGCAGGAAAAAAGAGGGCAGAAGATCCCAACTTGTATTGTGAACTTCTATGTTACCATCTTAAATCCTGCTATCCATCTGGAAGAAGTTGAATCAACCTTTTCACACAAACTGTGAGGGAGAGAATGGTATAGATTTCATCATATAACCTTTCAGAATTGTCTACAGACTACAGAGATGCACAAGGGAATTTCCAAAACTGATGAGAAAAAAAATAAATAACAGAATAAATGGAAATAAACGTACAAAAAATACTGAAGAAAGAACATTTTATGGTGACATTGCAAAATATCCAAGATTGAGAGCTTCCAATCCTGTTAATCTGCACTGTGTCCTGGCCCATTCATATTAGCTCAATATGACCCACAGTGAAATGGTATTATTTGGCCTTCTCCCTAATTCTTCTTGAAACTGGTTCATAGTAATTATTGTTTTAGGACTGTGAAACATAGTGGCCAGCAGCATTGCAAATCCAATTGCCATGTTTGATGACTGTCAAGGCTAGATATTAGATGGTGCCTATTGTCATGCAAGGTGAGAGTGTTTTGGAATACCAATTTTAATATGCATTGGCAGAATATGGTTGATTTGCATAATATTGATCTTTTCAATAGATATTTAATTATTTTACTTAGTATGGTAAGTTCTTCAACTTTTGAAACAGAATACCTGGTATCTATACCTGTTTTGCTATCTTATGTAAATTGATTTCATGGTAGACCATTTTAGAGCACAAATAGTTTGTTTTGTGCACCAATAAATTCCAAGAAACACAAACTCAATTTCATAAAGATCTATTGTGCTGAATGGAATACTGAATATTATTAATTATTGCTGACCTTAGCGGGCACAGTATATGGTATTAGTCTTCTTGCTTCTCCTACTGGAAGCTGCAGTAGCCGTAGATGTTTCTCTAAATAATCACTGGGAGGAGGTATACTTTCTTTACATATCCCTGTTCTCCTTCTCATAGTCTGTCCATAAGGGAAACTATGCTGATTCTATTCTGATTGTCTTCCCCCTTGTATCAGGACTTTCCAGAAGATCCTACAGGGAAGTTCGACAAGTTCAAGGATTTCATAAAATCAAACTTTGATATTTGCAAATTGATAGGTTTGTTTGTTGTGTGCGCACAGGTATGTGAATTCGTGTTTTTCACTGACGGCAATGGCTAATATAGTAATATTCAAGTGTGCACTAGGCTTTTGCACACAAGGAAGTGTGAAATTGGTCTTTCAGTTCAGAGGCCCTCTATCATATGACAGTGGTGGAAGGGAATGAAATGCTGGACAAATTTTTAGTGGACTTTTCTGTAGGCAAAAATCTGTTTTTGACTTTTATAGGTTGACAACAATTTATAGGTTCCCGGGTGATACTTCTAGGCTGCTTCTTTTTTTGTCCATTCTTGTTTGGTTCCTATCCCTTTTAATTGAAAACTTCCATGCTGCAAAGGCATTTTTGCCATTTATTTATGTTGTTTCTCCATCACTTGATGTCCCATTATTTGTATTTCACTTGAACTCCCAAACAGATATCCCCACTTAGATAATTCACATATTGGATGAATTAATGATGATATGCAAGAATTTCTTAGTTGAGGCCCATCGGATAGATGGTTTCTTATTTTACTATACATTGCAATGAATCACTTGCTTATGAGTTAAGATAAAAACTATTATATGGTCATATTGGTGATGCTCCCAGTTTTTCTTCAACTTTGACAGAGCATTGTTATTTTCTGTTTTGGCAAGATATACTCATGTCCCCTGATTTGAAATGTCTCCAAGTGCACTCTGTTGGAAAACTAAATGCTATGAACTGTGATAAACATTTTTCCATTTGGATAGGCATTTTAACGTGAGAATTCTGTAGTAGGGGATCGGTTTCTTTTTCATCTATGTTAGACTTGGTAATAACATCCGCACTCTCCGCCTGTAGGGATTATCAATCTTATTGTCCATGGCTCTCAAAGGCATGGGACCAGATCAGAAAAGCTATTATGATAGTGATGATGATTATGCTGCAGCCAGGCTTCCGCTTCTGAAGAATTCTGTTCAGCCACCTCCATATGTTATTGGCGACCCTCAGTATGCTCCCAATCCCAAGAGTGATGCTTGGAATTCAAAAGTTCAGGAGAAGGTAAAGATGTGTTTGGTTAACTCAATCATATCCTCTCATGCTTAGTAGTTATTTTTTTCTTGTATAATTTTTATCTCTTAGCAAAGGGGGGAGGGGGGAGGACAGAAAAGAAAAAAGTATATCATTTTCTACATATATGTACTTTTTCCAGATAAGTAAATGACTGAAATTGCACGGAAGGAGCCATTTGACTGTGAAAGCATTGTTGAGATGTGAAAACAGGTTGTTTTATAGTGAAGGAGGCTTCTCGTCCCAGGTTAGTATATGAAATTGAAGATGAAGGTCTGTTTCATGAGGATATTGAGGTTCTGTACACCCTTTGAACAACATGTATAACTGCTATTCTACTGTATTAAACAAATCATAGAGCTTCAAAGGTGTATATGTGACAATTCCTGTTTCTGTATGTGACAATGATAGTAGTAATAGTAATCCTTTAGACTGTATTATGGTTTCAGACCTTACTTTGGCAATCGCTAGAAACCAAAAGAATAGTAACCCAAAAAAAAAAAAAAATCCAATTTATGGACCAACTGCTGCAGAGGCCACTGTTTTGGAAACATCCAACAGTACATTACCTTGAACTGATCTCCTGACTGACCCACGTCCTTGTTGGACATTGTTCATGTTTAAGGCTGCAACTTGGGTCGGGTTGGCCCGAACCCAACCCTAACCCTAGGAATGACAACGGGGCGGGTTTGGGGCAGGGCACCCCCTCCCCATCCCCGCCCCATAGTCAAGATACTTTGCCTCGTCCCCAGTGGTAGGGGGGGTTCAGGGCGGGGTATCGACTCCCCGTCGAGGACGGGTAATACCCAAATTTTCCCCACTCCAAGGCAATTTCTTAAAAATTATTTATTTTGTGGACAATTTACACATAATATAGGAATTTGGGGGTATTTTAATTGAATTATAATACTTTGGGGGTACTTCAAAAATGGAATTATGGGATTCTAGGATTTTAAGAATTTAGGGAAAACTTAGAGATTTTTTAAATATCAATGTTAAACCTAGAGATATTTTACTAATTTTACCTTTGGGTTTGGGATGGGTTTGGAGAATTATATACAAAACCCGTCCCCGCCCCATCCCCGTTTAGGGTCAGGGAAAACCTACCCCATTTAAGGCGGGGCGGAACCCCAGTTTTAGGGGGGAAATTGCCATCCCTACCTAACCCAGTCCATAAAAGTTGGGTTAGGTTGGGTTGGGTTGATGCTCGGGTTAGGGTTAGGGTTGAAATTCATGAACCTGACTTTACTTCAGGTTGGGATAGGGTTGACCCCTTAGGCAATCCGACCCAACCCAAACCTAACTCTATATTACATGTTATATATAAATATATGTTATATGTAATATATAACATACATTGATTTGTTTAGATGCATGATATTTGTAGCCCCCACCACACAGTATCATGTATTTCTTTTAAGATAATCACTTCACTTTATCCTAATCGGAAAGACTAAAACCTTAATAATATTATTTTATGTTTTTTGAAAATTTTATTCTTCATCTCCTCTCTGTTATTTGTCACCCATAAAAGATCTATCATATGTCATAACTCATAATAAACTATAGTCATTTCTAACACTTGTTTTTTTGAATTTTGTACCACAATAACAAAAAAAAAACCGTCAACAAACAAATACCGATGAAACATAGGATCAATATATATAGTGAAAGTTGAGTTAAAATCTAAAATCGAGAAATTCTATGAGGTTTTAAGGGATGGGAAGAAGGTTGGGTTAGGTTGGGTTAGGATTGAGGAAATTTAGTTAGGGTTAGGGTTGGGGTTGGGGGTTTAGAACTTAGGGTTGGGCTAGGGTTGGCCTCAACCCGACCTAACTTGACCCGACTTGCAACCCTATTCATGTTAGTAGTCATAGAACTAGTAGGAGTCAACATGGTGATCAATGATATGGGCACATCACACACACACACAAAAAAAAAAAACACTTTTATGCGCAAAAACACACCCTAAAATTGGGGCTTTTGGGCTTTTGGGCTTTGAAAGCACAAGTTCTAAAGCTTATCAACTTAGGTTTCCTCGCAACTTCTCAAGAACCACACGAAACCATTTCTGCGTTTGTCCAAGAAGTTCACATGCTGGAACTAGACAATTTATCTTGTTATCGACGGCAGTTGCTGCTTGAACGCTCCAGTGGTTGTGACTACTGTGACGTTGGCATCGAACAATTTTGTGGAATCCGGATCTCCTATCCACGAGACAATAGAGCTGTATATTGGAAACAAACATTTTGGAAACATCATGACCCCAATAAAATATACAGTTGTAGCCAATTGAGTGGTGGCCAGTTGGTATGTTTGGTAAAATTGGACGATCAATGTTAGCATGTCTCTCCTTTGAGAGAAGTTATTTATCTATTTTCTCCGTTTTTTACATTTTTTCTTATTTTCTTTTGTTTTAAAAATATAAAATAGTAATTATTGCTTATCTTGATTAGATTAATAAAGCTGCACTTATTTTAATGCATTTTATTATTACATTTAGAAAAGGCATTTAAGAGAGGGAGAGAGAGAAAGAGAGAGAGAGAGAGAGAGAGAGAGACCGTTAGGTTTTACAAGGCCTCTTTTTAACACATGTTATTAGGGAAATTGTCAAAAACTCACCATGAGTTTTCAGTATTTCTCTTAAACTCACCACAATTTTTCAAAACGTCTAAAATTCACCATGTCACTAACTTGATGTTAAAGAGACTAACAGCTGTTAATATATTACCATTTTAACCTTCATAGAAAAATATAAATATATACATATATTTTAATATTTAGACATGAAAAAAAAAGAAAAGTTTGAAAAATATTTTCAAATATAAAAACATAGAAATTACAAAAAATATAAAAATTATAGAAATTGCACACAAAATAAAAAATTACTTTCAAATTATAGAAACTCTAGAAATTGAAAAACAAAATCAGAAAATAAAAATTGTAAAAGAAAATAAAAAATTATAGAAAAACATAGAAATTGCAAATAAATAACAAAAAATACAGGAAATTTTATAGATGGTAGAAAATAGAAAAATGTAAAAAACATTAGAAATTATAACAAACCACTAAAAATGTAAAAAAAAAATGAAAATTGAAAAATGAAAAAGACCGTTTTCCTCCAATTCGCCATTCAAGGGTGATTTGGTCATAAAATTGTTATTTATGCTGATGTGGAGACCTCTGTTAAGAAACACTAATGGTGTACTAACAGAAGGTGAATTTTGAAAAATAAAACTTATTGACATGATGAGTTTTAGACGTTTTGAAAAATTGTGGTGAGTTTAAGAGAAATGCTGAAAACACATGGTGAGGTTTAGACAATTTCCCATGTTATTACATTAAAGAGAGAGAGAGAGAGAGAGAGAGAATAGTAATAATATAAATCAAGGTTTTTAAAATCGAATTGGCCAACGAACCAATCAGAGGTCTGGTTCCTGGGTCAAACGGTCTGATCATTCGAATGAAATGGACAGTCCGTTCAAACCGTTGGACGATTCAAACGGTTTGACCACCCGAGTCAACGATTTACTGACCAAATCAGCAGTTTTTGGCGAAATAACAGTTATGGGGTAAATGGAATCGGTTACCTGACTGGTTCTCGGTTTTTCTGGTCTGGTTTGGTTTTGAAAACCGTGATATAAATCTAATCATATAAATAGGTTAAGGTTAAACAATCAAAATTTTATTAATTTAAAAATCCACTAAACTTTCACTAAAAATAAATATTAACAAAACTTGGTAAATATTAAAAATGTGTTTCAATTCCACTTAAAAATCCAACTTAATAAACGCAAATAAAAATAAGAAATTTAAATATAAAAATATTAATTGATAGTTTTAATAATATTATTAGATAACTTATGAGTTGAGAACTTAATAAACACTAAAAAAATATTAATTGATAGTTTTAAAATACCAAAAATTAATTATAAATCCGAAAAAATCTGAAAAACCTAAACATAATTAAAATACTAAAAATAAATAAATAAATATTGAAAATTAACAATATTTTATATTAATAAGGGTACTTACTAAAAACAATTAAAAGTACAATTAATATAATTTTATTATTAAAAAATAACAAAAATTATGAAAAAATACCCAAGCTACAAATTATTGAAAAATATTGAAAATTAGCTGAATTTTTTTAACTATGGTATTTATTTAGTTAATTTATTTTTACTGAAAGCAAATGCAAATTAATTTTGTAGTGACTAATATGCAAAAAAAATGATGAAAATACTGAAAATTATTGAAAAATACTCATATGCAAAAATTACTGAATAATAATGAGAAAAACACCAAAAAATAATTAAAAATTCGAAAAATCCTGAAAACCTAAAGTTTAATTAAAATACTAAAAATAATTAAAAAATTAAATTAATTGTATTTTATTGCAAAAAATATTGAATAATAATGAAAAAATAATGTATTTTAATTATTAATAGCAATATAATTAACAATAATTATTTTTAAACTATAATTAATAGTAATTATAATTTAAGCTATAAATAGTATAAAATTACATTTAATTACCAAAAAGTTATATTTAATTACCAAAAAATTACATTTAATTAGTTTTAGCCAAGAAATTAGAAATATTTCTAAAAATATGATAGTTTTCCAGAATTATTGTATTTTAAATAATATAGTAATTTAATAATTACAATATTTTAATAGCTAACAATATTTTAATAATTAATAATAAAAAGTAACAAATCGTTTATAACTTAACCTAACCCGATTAAATCTATAAATTTGCATGCTCAAGCAATTATTTTCTATAAATTTGTAGGCTCAAACAATTAATTCTATAAATTTGTCAGGGATAATTAGATCTGAAGTCTTATAGGGTATCGAACTTTTGGAGTCCAATGATGGCTTTAGCGGATAAGGCCCAAGCTAAACAACCCCTAATAAGCTCAACTTGGAAATTATATGCATATATAGTAAATATTATTATATAATATTTAAATAACAAATTCTATATTAACATATATATATGTTATATATTTTTTTATACTAAAATAAATTTTAATTTGTAAAAAATCATAGTTTTATAATTAACATTGGCCTCTTTATCAACAGAAAATGTGCAAGCCCGAGCTCGAGCTCGGCCTGACCTTCGTGTCAAGATCTTGAGCCCAAGCCCAGCCCTTATATAAAGCCCGAAGCTCGATCTGTATACAAAATGTTTTATTTTCAGTTTACTTTTATGAACTAATATTATATTAATTTAGTAATAATTTAATAAATTAATGAACTAATTTATATTTCCTAATCGTAAAAATTTAAGAAGCATATATATATATATATATTATAGCATAAGTACTTTTTTATATATGTAATAATATTAGGCCGAGCTTATTTGAGAAAGCTCGAGCTCGAGCCTACGAGCCTGAAGTTTTGTCCAAGCCTGAAAAGTAACAGGTCA